AGGAGGAGGAGGAGGAGGAGGAGGAGGAGGAGGAGGAGGAGGAGGAGGAGGAGGAGGAGGAGGAGGAAGAAGAAAGAAGAAAATAACAGTTGATGTTTGTGCCACATATTAACATTTTATTCTAAAAGTCGGCTAGATTAATCTTATAATCTCCCACTTACAGATTCTACCACCCCTACGCCTGAAATAAAATAGTTTTCCAACATGATAGACTAGTGTGAACTTGAACATTGAAGTTCACAGTAAAAATTAACATATGCTCTAATTTTACGCTGCCTATCAATACAGCAGCAGGATATTCCTACGTTAACTTCACCGTCTTAACTTAGTGAAGTTAAAATCAGAACAAGTTAACACATCTCATATTTATTATCTTGGGGAAATAGTCAATATTTTCATCTTTCCCTAGTTCTAGAACAGAAATTCAAATTCTGAGATCTTAAGGTTTGAGTTTTATTTGGATTTTTCCCCCCACACTGAAGTATAAAATGTGTGGTTCGAGAGTGCTCTCGGCATTTAGGTGACAGATCTGATTTACTCTGTACAGGAAGTAGAAAGTTCTTGCTGCATTTTGTAGATATGGTGAGAGCCTTGCACAGGCTTGTCTCTGATGCTGAAGGACATAGGAACAGCAGGTACCAGCTAAGGGTGGATGGACATTGCTGGGTGCTGGAGGGATGGCTCAGTGGTTAAGAGCACTGGCTGCTCTTCCAGTGGTCCTGAGTTCAATTCCCAGCAACCACATGGTGGCTCACAACCATTTGTAGTGGGATCTGATACCGCCTTCTGGTGTGTCTGAGCACAGCTACAGTGTACTCACGTATATAAAATAAATAAATTAATTAAAAAAAAGAATTACATAAGGGTGGACATTGTTACTCTCTGCATGTCCTGCCGTGAACATGACCTTTCTACACTTGTTGCCTTAACTCTTTAGTGCAGGATTATTTATTTATTTATTTATTTTAGTTGAAATTTACTGTATAACTTGAGGAGGGAGTTGTTACCTAATTTTCTTACTCACAGAAATAGGTATTTAGTCCAACAACTGCGTGTGTGAGTTGCTATGTCTCCTTAATAAGCTATGTCATAACCAATACTGTGAGACTAGTTTCTGTCTGTAAAATGGACTTACCCATCTGAAAGCATGGATGGTGTCGAGTAGAACTAAGTCTTAGTACTATCTTCTCCCTTACTTCCTATTTTCTCCATTTTTTAAAAAAGGTAACTTGCTAGAAAAACGCTTTTCTGAGGGTATGATAGAAGAAATCACCAGTAGACTACTGGTGCCCCCAGAAGCATCTAAGCTGCTAACTTTCAAACTGGATTTTAACCTCAGAATCCTCTGTGAGTCTGTACGCAGGGGCCGCTAAATCCCAGCTGTTATTTGTACAGTGGAAGATCTGATGAAACACTCATCTATGGTCACAGTTTGAAGCAGGCAGAACCAGAATGCAGACTCTGTTTTAGATGTGCCTCTGTGTGTGTGTGTGTGTGTGTGTGTGTGTGTGTGTATGTGTGTGTGTGTCTTAGGGGGTGACAAAGCCTTGCTGTGTGGGATTACAGGTGTGGCCCTCTTGAATCTGGGTAGTTCCTGAAGTTTCAATGCAACTCAACCTTTCAACAGCAACATGGAAGATGTCTTGGTATAAAGAAAAAATACCCTGAGCATATTTCTGTATTTAAATACGTCTGGATCGGGTTTAGGTTCGATCTGACCCATGTAACAGTTACACTATTGGGCACGGGCTATGATTAGATATACAGGGGATAATATCATTCCTCTAGTCGTACTGTGCCGTATGTGTGTGCACACCGACTTGTGCCTTCAAAGTGTGCTATTAAACATTTCAAGAGAGGAATACCTCTCTCCCTGACATACTTCTAGGCCAATTTAGAAGTCATTGACCAGATGTCATCTAACACTAATGTTAAATTACCCTGTGTAATGAGAAAATTATGGTACCTAAGCGAAGATAGTAAAGGGAAACCAGACACCCAATGAATGACGCTCAGATTTCAAAATGCAATGATGTCTTCAGAGTCAACGCTGGCCCCATGTGCCTTTAGCAACAGTCAGTCTGGTAGGGAGCAGAAGATGGAGACAGAAGTGAGGCTTATCTCTGTACATGCCAGTGTTGGTTATGCTAGCAGAATTAATGTACCAGCACAGCTCTCAGTTGTCCAAGAAGTCCATTATTGCTACTGAACGGTCATTGTTTCTAATACGCATGTCCTTCCTAGGTATACTTTAAATGCCTGATTATTGCGAACACAGTATGACCAAAGACTAAAAAGTGTATGAAGTCTGACCACTTTTTGGTAATCACCAGCTCTTCTCAGAGAATAAACCTCGCTTACAGTTAGGAAACAACATTTCTGTTTAAGGCTGAGAAGCCAGGATGCAGGAAAATTTCTGCTAATTTGGAAGATGACCTTTAAGTGCACCAAAACCAAATAATCTGTAGGCTGTGACACAGGGCGCGTTCCTCCAAAATGTGTGTGAATACTGCTTTCCGCGGTGGTTCTTGAAAGCCAAACAAAGGGAGCTGGGAGGACAGCTTCCCCCCCTTCCCCCCACGATGGGGACTAACAAAAGAGTCCTCCGGTCCCTTTCAAAAGTTCACCATTAAAACAGGGTCTCCGTAGCACAGCTAATGAGATGGGCTCATGGCGGAAAGCAATCTGTTTTTAAGAAAAAAAAAAAAAAAGAATGTTTAGATCAAAAGTAATTTCTAATCTATGAAATAGGGACTCTTCAATACCCCTCATTCACCAGTAAAGCTTTCATGTGTGTATTATTTACTTCAATCAGGTGTTTTCAATTTACCCTCCCCCCCCTACAAATACATGGCAGGGTTCATCAATACTGACTGACCAACAGTCTTATTCTTTTCCTTCAGAAAAGAGATTTTATTATTATTATTTTTGAGAGAGAGAATGAAAAAGAGAGAAAAATCTTTGCCTAAGCGATTTGCAAGCATCTGTGTTTGAAGCTACTTTTTTTTTTTTTTTTTATGAACACTCCTTAGTAAAATGACTCAAGGTAAAAAAGCAGAAAAGCATCCAATGTTAGGGAATTGCAATCCAATACCATGTAATTTAAACCTGCGGTTGCTTCTCTTGTACCAAATGACATACAGATGGGTGACTGAGCCCTCTCGACGTCGGGAACACAATTGGCCTTTTTGTATGAATGAACGTACATTAAACCCCAAATATTTTCGACAGATTTGCTTAATTCTGATTGTTCAGATCTTAATTATCCAGCCCTTTTGGGAACGAATAGTTTTAACCATGATAATTTGTCAGATTGAGTTTCCAATGAATGAACTTGGGGACAAAATTAGCAGGCACCCTTGTAGCAAATAAATAAAAGCAAAATAAATTTTAAGAAGTCTATGAGGGAGGTAAACAGCAACTCACTCAACTCAGGGCGCCTGTTGTTTGAGAAAGAGGCCTTTTTCATTCAAGCCGAACAGGCACTTATCGGGACACATTTCTGTCTATGTCCTGGACAGCGGTAAGCAGGGCTTCTCACATCAGGGCGAGCCTGGTGTTAACTGCTGTTCAGCTAGGTGGGAGGCTCTCAGGGCTATTGGTGATATGGTTGTTCCTGGGTCTCTTTCTAGACCAACAAAGGATGAGGAGGTTGGTAGAGGTTATTGTGACTCCTGTGGGCCTAGCCAAGGTTATCCTCTGTTGGCTCTCTCCCTGGCTCCCTGTTTTCTGGTGGAGAATTAGCCTTCTGTCTAGGTGGCCAAGATTTTGGAAGCTGATAGCCTTTCTTCAGTCTCACAATCAGGATAGCCAGTTGGTTAATTCTTGCCGAGTTTAACTTCAGTATTCTCATATTCTGTGTTAGGTGCCTTAAAAGTAAACATTGGGGGGGGGGGCGGGTTTCCACTGCCAAGTCGGGAGAAGTTGAATTTCATATTCAGGATACCAAGGCTAACTTCAAGACACGGTAGGGAATCTCTGCTCCAAGGGCCATCTACAGGCTGCTTTCCTCCTGTGATGGATGGCCAAGGAAAGGCCTGTTACTGCAGTGAGGAATGGCTCTCCTGAGTTAGTCATGGTTCTTCTCAGTCACGTGCTCAGGTAAAATAAAAATAGTGTACACAAACAGGTGTAGTCTGAACACTTGACTGCAGACTGCGTATATTGAAATAAAACTACACTTGCTGTCAATGACATTAGAATCATCCCATCATTCAGATACTAATCAGGGAAATCTTCCTAGCTAAATGGTGCCAGGACAGCACACCCTGAAGTAAAATCACACTCAGCTTCCGTTTGTCTGTGTCTTTTTCTTCCTGCCTCTCCGTGTCTCTCTGTCTCTGTTTCCCTCTCCATCTCTGCCTTTGTTTCTCTGAGTCTGTCTGTCTCTGTCTCCTTCTCTCTCTGGAGTTCTTGAATCTCACTTTGTATAAGTAAATGCCTTCTCCTGAAGTCTCCTGGCAGTTTTTTGCTAGCCTGGTAAAACACAGGTTTTAGAAAAACATTTTTTTTGTTTTTTTTTTTTTGAGTCAGGGTTTCTCTGTGTAGCTCTGGCTGTCCTGGAACTCACTCTGTAGACCAGGCTGGCCTCAAACTCAGAAATCCGCCTGCCTCTGCCTCCCAAGTGCTGGGATTAAAGGCGTGTGCCACCACTGCCCAGCTGAATTCACCTTTTAAAAGGGGGTTTCAAGGTATCAGGTGGCATAAAGGATGCGCCACAATCCTGTGGTGAGTTTCTAGTATCATGTGCTAGAAGCCTCTGCTATGACACATTGTTGCTGCTCCCGAGGAATCAGTTGGCTCTCTTAAGTGCGTTCTGTTTGAACTTGGAGACCAGCTTCAGCTCAGGTAAGTCTTTGGAGTCCTTTAGGGACTCTCTGGTCATTGACAAGTAACTGGAGAGCCTTGCTAGGGCAGCCAGCCAAAGCAGGGATTTAGGATTCAGGCTAACATGGGTCTTTCTCCCATATCTTCTCTTTCCAGGGTCGTGTAGGGATAAAAAGAACTGTAAGGTGGTCTTCACCCAGCAGGAACTGAGGAAGCGCCTGACACCCCTACAGTACCATGTCACTCAGGAGAAAGGAACAGAAAGGTAATTTGTGCTGTAATAAGCACAATAAGCAAGCAAACAAGCAAGCAAACAAGCAGGCAGGCAGGCAGGGAGACAGGCAGGCAGGCAGGCAGGCAGGCAGGCAAACACCACTTTCTTCCCCTCGGAGTCATCTTCCCTGTTGATTATTTTAAAGAAACTCTACATTCTGGCTAAGGCCTGCAAAGGACTGTCTTTTAAAGGCTGGAGATGGCATTGTTTAAGTTACACTGAGTTTTGTTTCTGCCTCCCTCAGCGGACATGCTATCTATATAAAGCCATGGGACTTCTGCTAAGGGCCTGTTTTTAGTTTACAAGGAAATGTGTGGAAGCAATAGCGATTTGGGTACTTTTTTTTTTTTTTGGAAGACATCACAGCAAGGCAAACCACGAGGGACATGGAGCTACGCCAGGAGGCTGGCATTTTGAAGGTGGCCATTGTAAAGCATAGACGTTTTGGCTGCAAAACGAAGGTAGCATAATTTAGTTCCTTTCCACCTCACTCCAATTTCTTTTTGAAGCACATGTGGAGAAAGTATTTATTGGCTCATTTGTGGTTGGAATGTCAAAAATTTTCAATAACTGCCCTTGCATGGCTTTGGTCCTTGGAAGTTCGTCCTACATCCTGGAAAGGGGAAAAAAAAAGTTCGTTCACTTCCAAGACTGTTTTTAGTGAATAAAATAAAATCTCTCTCAGCTGATTCCAGCTAAAAAAATAACTTGCCAAGGCCCGATGATTTTGTTGTCCAATTTATACCATGGAGCTTGGGAGCTTGGCATGCGGCTGTGTTACCTCTGATCCAGATTTATTAATGATGTAACTTATGTGTTTCCATTCATGAGCTCTCTCCCACACAGGGGAGCCTTGTTAACAGACACCACGCTCTCCCTGTCTCAGACCCCACTGTTTACCGCGTTTACTGAACGCCGAAGCCCTGACAAAGGTGTGCCTTCCTTGTACCAGCCGTTGGCTAGATCACAGCCTACAGGGCTTCTGCCCGCCAATGCTGTGTGCATGGCTAGCAGAATGATTTAACGTACACAAACAACCAGAGATTAGGTCATTCTTAAAAATTCTGTTTATATAAAAAAAAAAAAATTGGACCTCGTAAAGAGGGTGAGACAATAATAGAAACAAGCTGAGGGGCACATCGACTTTTTTTTTTGGGCTACACAGCTGATCCATATTAACTGAGTGACCGCCTCGACTTTAAGATTGTTAACTTAGAAAAATATTCCCTTAAAGCTGCAATACTCCTTTTCAAACCAAAAAATAAGACTCCTTCCACTCAAAGACTTGGAAACCTGCTCCATTTTTCTGGTCCCCTCTTGCGTAGTGTGGGGTAGCAGAAATCTTAGGTAATAATGTTCTCCGTGTGACTCAAACAATGGGTGGGTTTTTTTTTTTTAATTTGAAAAATATTCTAAGTATTACTTACTAGATGGCTTGATATTTTTACTTAACCTGCACTAGTTTGGAGAAGTTATGTGCATATATATATATATTTAAAGTATATTATATTGTTCAAGTTTCCATATGTCTGGTCTGTTCTCATTTTAGGGTCAAAAACCCTGGAAAATTTTACTAGAGAATTGTATTTTAAACCAATGTGTTCTATAAGAAGAAATACTAGCTTTGTTAATATTTTTGACGATCTGTTTATTGTTTATCAGTGCCTTTGAAGGAAAATACACACATCACAAAGATCCTGGAATATATAAATGTGTTGTCTGTGGAACTCCGCTGTTCAAGTAAGTGTCCTGAAAGCCAGTAGGCTTGGCCGGGTCATGTGACCGCACACTCCTTACTGCTCAGCTCCCTGTGAATCTTTCCTTTGCTGAATTTGATTCTATCTCTTTATATGTTGGTCTACTCCCTGAGAACAAGAATGATTGCAGACTTTCTTGGCTAATTACTAGTGTGATAGGCTAGCTAATCTTGTACTGTTCAGACATTTGAAACACCCAGCATTAACTTTGTTCATCTTCAGTAACCGTCGTCCTTACCAGAGGTATGAAGAAAACATCTCTTGGTAAACAGAGATATGCTTATGTATTTACTGATTTGTCTACCTTCAAGCGATGCCCCTAAATACATTTATGGACCATTTTTCAAGTCACTCATGTACACCCTTCAGATTAAACTACATCCAGTGAGAAGTCTCTTTAGACTTCTACAATGAAGGGACATATTGAAAATAAACATGAGATAATAATATCGTATATCTGAGGTTAACATTGTTTTGACACTGGCCTAAAATCCTCTTTTTAAAAAAGACCCTAACAGGTTCACAATAATGCAGGTACCACATAGACTTTTTGACTAAGACAGATAACTCTTGGTCTGGATAGGATAATCTTATCAAACAAGGACGATCTTTACCAAAGATGTTTTATCTGGGTGTGTAAAATCTCAGGATCCCCGTGTGTCCCATACAATTGCTGCCCCGGGGCAGTGAAAGCAGAACCTTACTTAGGAGTGCTCACTTTATCAGAGACAGGATTAGGAAGTTTCAGAGAATGGATAGCAAATGAAGAATGTAAAACACACTTTAGTTTGCCTGGTGTTTCTCCTTTAAGATACTAGCATTTACAGATATTTCTGAAATAACAGGAAAATGGTAGTTTCCTTAAAAACTTTAAGAGCTCCAACTTTTCCCCAATTACCCTTTTGCACGTTCCTGTTGGTTGACAATCTGTTCCGAATTCTTACTCTTTTTTTTTTTTTCATGTTGAAAAACCGACCTTCAAATTGTCACCCGTTCCCTGTCAGAAAACACACATCCTCATATTTCAACACCTTTAGCTTACGTCAAAATAGTTGACATAACACTTAAGACAGCTGCTGAGCCATGCTAAACTGGTTAATACCCCAACCGGTCAAAGCTGCCCACATCTCTTGGCGTTTTGTTTGAGATGCTCCACCTCTTTCCAATCACGTGATTTCACTGAAGACTCCGCTGAAGGAAACCTTACTGTTTTAAATAAGAAACAGAGCCAACTGTGAATGGAGAATTTAACCCTTGTGAGCATTTGAATCACAAACCCTGAAAGCGAGACTCTTAAACTAACTTGCTTGCCAGAGTCACACTCACCTCCATGACCTTCGAGGTGACCTTTGCTGTGACACTCACGGTGACTCTGTGTCATTTCCTAGTGTTCCTGTCAGCTTCTGTTTGCTAAACTTTTGAGAAATAGGATTTAATTTTTCACTCATACTTCTGCTGGTTTTCGTCATTCACTCTCTATTCTCATCTACTTTGGGGGAAAGGACCCTGCTCCTCCGCCACTGGAGATGGATGGAGTACTTTATTGGCCGTGTACGGTTGTCTTTGTGTTCAGAATGTTCAAAATGTGCACCTGGGTCCCCACAGAGATGCAGGGGCCACAGGGCATGCGCAGTTTTGAGCGACTAGGGTTTTCCCGTCCTTTCTTTCTTTGTGCATGGTTTGCCGAAACTGTGCATCCTGGGGGTCAGTGGCTGGCTGCTCCTTCCGTCTCATCTCTCCTGTGGTTGTTTTCCTCTCTCTTCATTTGGGGTGGTACGCGTTTCATCTTCCCCAATATTGCTGCAGTTTATTGTCCCCTTGTTACAGTCTGCAGGCTCAAGCAGAATGATAGTTCACGGATGTATTAATTTTGAAGGCAAGCTCCCTGAAAAGGGAAAAAGAAACAAAAACAAGAACTAGAGGTGGCAAACATTGAGATAGCTTTGCGGGCTCCTGCCATGGGTCAACCGAACTCCCTTTGCTGCCTGTGTACATGCCTTTCTGTATGTGTATCCATTTTCCACCCAGGGACTTAAATGGGTCACCATGAGAACACATATTATTGACTTTATTCAGATAATAGAAAATGAAACTTTGTGGGGTTTCATAGTTGTTCTGGGGGGGGGGAAGGGAACAAGTCTAATTTGATGGCTAGATATATTGGTGAAGGCTGGGTTTGCAAATAAGTTCATGTGGTCTGTTTTTCCACATATGAATGATGGAAATATGAAGGTCTGAGGTTTGGGCAGAAGGATTTTAAGCAGGTATAACAATATGAAACAAGTGGAAATTTGTTTTTTTGCAGTTATTTGCATTTCTGATAAGTTTTTAAAAGACATAGGGGAAAAGTTATCAATCAGCAGGTCCAGGTTTAGGATCCATAGAGTCATTTGAACAAGAAAGTTTGAAGTGTTTGAAACTATAGGAGAGGGTTAGGATAAGGAGGGGTTTGCTAATAAGAAGCAAAAAGAAGTTAGAAAGAATACAGGCACAGCAGGAGAGGTCGTGTGTACACACACAGCAGGAGAGGTCGTGTGTACACACACAGCAGGAGAGGTCGTGTGTACACACACAGCAGGA